CATCGAGAAACTAAAACTTTTAGTGACCCTCATGGCCACCAACCCTTTAATTTTGGGGATGAATTGGCTGAAAAGGAGAAACCCCAAGGTGAACTGGGATGAGAAGATTTTACAATTCCCGAGCGAGGGTGGCATAGAAGTGAGAGGAGTTGCTGAGAGGTCATTGGAGGGGGAGGTGGCTGCAGTGAGTATGGAAGCGGCAGAGGGGACCGTGAATCAGATTCCAAAGCAATACCGCGATTTGCAAACGGTGTTTAGCGAGAAGGAATCAGACCAACTACCCCCCCCCCACTATGCCAGTGACTGCACTATAGAAATTGAACCCAGGGCTAAATTCCCGAGGAAGAAAATGTATTCTATGATGCCTAAGGAACTAGCAGCCCTGCAGGAGTTTATCGATAAAAATGTACAAAGGGGATTTATCAAACTGACTCACTCCCAAATAGCGGTGCCGGTGCTGTTTAGGGAGAAGAAGGACAGCTCCTTATGCCTATGCATGGATTATAGGGGGCTTAATGCCATTGCCAGGACAATAGATATCCACTGCCGCTGATGAAAGACTTGGCCAAAGGGAAAATTTTTACTAAGCTGGATTTGCAGGACGCTTGCTTCTGGGTGAGAATCCGAGAGGGAGATGAATGGAAAACAGCGTTTAACTGCCCCCTAGGGTGCTTCCGTTATAAAGTCATGCTGTCCGGATTAAAAGGAGCCCCGGGAGTGTTCATGCAACTCATAAATGAGGTTCTACAAGAGGACTTGTACAGGGGGGTGTTAGTTTATTTGGATGATATCCTGATTTATACTGAAACTATGGAGGAGCATGTGCAATTGGTGAGGAAAGTGTTGCAGAAGCTGTTGGAGGCACAGTTGTTTGCCAAACTGTCTAAGTGCGATTTCCATAAAGAACAGATTGAGTATTTGGGGTATAGGATATCACCTCAGGGGATTGAGATAGACCCAGCCAAGGTGAGGGATGTGATTGGCTGGGAAGCTCCCAAGACACAGCGGCAGCTTCAAAGCTTCCTGGGCTTCACTAATTTTTACTGCCAGTTCATTCCAAACTTCGCACAGGTGGGGCTCCTGCTTACAGATCTATTGAAAACTAAGGGCAAGGACAAAGCGAAAGCCTCGCGACCTGGGGCTCTGCTAGCCTGGTCAAAGGAATGCCAGGAAACCTTTGAGGGGTTAAAATGCTTATTCACGGCAGAACCAATTTTAAAACACCCTGACTTGGATAAGCCGTTTGTCATTCAGGCAGATGCTTCCGACGTGGTGGTGGGGGCTGTTCTGTTGCAAAAGGGAGAATCAGGGGACTTATACCCGTGTGCCTACATTTTGAGGAAATTCTCAGAGATGGAGAGGCGCTGGTTAGTCTGGGAAAAGGAGGCGTTTGCGGTGCACTGGGCGTTAGTTTGCTGGAGGCACCTGCTGGAGGGATCACCTCACTCATTCCAAATCTGGACTGATCACAAAAACCTGGAAGCCCTGACTGCCCCAAAGAAACTGTCTCCAAAACAAATGAGGTGGGCTCAGTATTTCCACTGGTTTAATTTCTCCCTAAAGTAATTCCTGGGGGGAAAAACTTCTTGGCAGATGCTCTGTCCCGATTGCCTCAACACAACAGCATATGGGAGGAAGTGATCGCGCCTGTCATTCCATGCATCCAATCCGGGTTGAGGGTGGTCACTAGAACAGAGTAAAGAGGCTGGAGAAATGCCAGAGGGGGAATTATTGCAGAAATTGAATAGCCAGATATCACAGGATGAATGGTTTGAGAAGAATAAAAGCTCCTTAGTAAATAAGCAAGGGGCGTGGTGGTGGCAAGATAAACTGTATGTGCCTGCTGAAGCTCAGCAATGGGTCCTACACAGAGGCCATGACAGCAAAACAGCTGGGCATTTTGGATTTGTGAAAACTCTGCATTTACTGAGACTCCAGTTCTGGTGGCCAACAATGAGAAAGGATGTGGGAAATTATGTGGCTACCTGCCCCACGTGTGCCATGGCAAAGAAGAGGGGAGGGAAGCCGGTAGGGCTTCTGCAGCCAGTGGCAACACCAGATAGACCTTGGAAACAGATTGCCATGGATTTCGTAGTGGACTTGCCTGAAAGTAACAAAAAGACAGTCATCTGGGTGGTTACCGACCTATTCTCTAAGCATGTTCATTTTGTGGCCTACCCCTCCCTCCCATCAGCCCCTAAACTGGCTAAATCATTTATCCAGCACATCTATTGAGCTCATAGGTCCCAGAATGAGTGATCAGTGATTGTGGAGTCCAGTTCACTGCCAAGTTCTGGAGAGCCTTCCCAAAGCTGATTGGTGCATCCCAGGGGCTGAGTTCGAGTCATCACCCCCAGACGGACGGAGCTTCAGAACAACTGAACTCGGTGTTAGAGCAATACTTGAGATGTTTTATTAACTACCAACAAGACAATTGGGGTGATTTATTGCCCTTTGCGGAAGTTGCTTATAATAATCATCAAAGTACTGGGCTCACTCCTTTTAAAATAGCTACTGGGCAAGACTTTGTGCCAATCCTGGAGCTACCTCAGGAATCCATTCAGTATGGCTATGATTCAGCCCTGTGCCATGCCTTAGAGCAATGGTTCTCCAAGTTTGGTGTGGAGACCTCTTGGGGTCCCTGAGACCCTTTCAGGAGTCTGTGAAGTCAAATAAACCAATCTTTTAAAATTTCTCAGTTTTAATTTCCAATAAGTAAATACCAATAGATATAATCTACATAAACCAAAGCTCTTTGGGGTCTTCAATCATTTTTAAGAATGTAAAGGGGTCCTGAGACCAAAATGCTTGAGGACTGCTGTCTTAGAGGGTTTTAAGTTTGCCCACTACCTCTCTGATAGCCTATCAAACTGCTCTTGTTATCAAGAATTTTCCCCTACCTCCTCTGGTGAGCCAGACTATGATCTTCTTCTGATCTTGGAAGGGTTGATTATATCCCATCCCCAGCTGTCTTTTCTTGAGAATAAACCTAACTGTATCCTACAAACTCTCTTCATAGGCCAGTTTCTAGTCCTCTAAATTTGATCTGAATCAGTTCTCTAAAACCTTTCTTGGGTGCCTGAATCTGCCTTAAAGGAAGCGTGTGCCTCTATGCTGTATGTATCTCTTTCTTGGCAGATCTGGACAGTTGAACTGCAAAGTCATCTTTAGGTTACAAATCGTGGCTTGCATAGAAGAGCGTGAGCATGCTTGGGAGAGAACTGGGCTTTGGTTACCCTTGTGATATCCAGGCCAAAATTGACTGGTGGTTTGTCATTACCATTTTATTTTACCATTAGCAAAGTTGCTGCGTGTAGCAAAGGTAGGACTAGGGCTGATAATCTAAGATACCAAGCTTAGCAAGATATAGATGAAAGCCTCAAGTGACCAAAGCCATGTTGGGCTGCAGAGGTCAATACAAGAGGAGGAAATGGAATTAACAAATGCAATAAAATCCACAAATACAGGGATGTGTTGTGTCTGTGAACCTAAGAGAAAGGGGAAGAATGAATAGATGTGAATGAAGGGGAGTGCTCTTGCTCTCGTGGAATGGAGAGGATTAATACAGGCAGTGGAGTAGAAGTGTAGGTTTTATCATGAACAAAGGGCTAACATGTTTGTCAGAAAGTATGGATTGAAATATTTCAGTGAAAAGAAGAACCAGATCCCCTTGTTCTGAATATGTATTTTAAGCATGTGTCTATTCATACACACACATGGCAAAGGAACGAATACAAATCTACAATCATGGTTAACTTGATTGTTTATGATGAAAGACCAAGATAAATGGTGAAAATGACAGAGCTACAGAAGGGTGTTGAGTTACTCTAATGAAAATCATGAAAAAGGATGCTGTGTGGGATGATGAAGTGAAAGGGGCTGTGAATGAAAAAAAATGCATGCGAGAATGATTGCTGCAAAAAGCGAGTATGAAAGATGTACAATACCTAGAGGGGAAAAAAAGATAGTTCCAAAGGATGTAGTCAAAGAGGGCAAGGAATGATTAAGTGAAGCAGAGAGAATGCAGGGTGATTCTGAGGAAAATAAAAAAGTACACTTGGGAAGTGGATGAAGAGGTTTCAACGAGGAGCCTCCAGCAGCGTGAATAGAATTAAACATAAAACTGATGAAATGATTTGGGATGAAACCTAAACACAGAGCTGTTGATGCAATGAATATTTTATATGGGAATGATGATGCTATGGTGGAATTGAAGCAAATCCTCCACTGTCTAGATAAATTGATGAAAAGGAAATAATAAATGCTATGGAAATGTTGAAAAATGGTAAGTTTGCAGGGGCAGATAAAGCCAGAGAAATTTTAAGATATAACTGTGGTTCATGGTGTGGCTTTGCAATCTGTCAGCTGCCTCTGTGCCTAAGAGGCGGAAAAAGGCCATTACTGTTTCTGTCCACAAAGGGAAAGGGAGAAAGAGTGAATGCAAAATCCAGAGGGAGTACAGCAGCTTGTTAACGCTGCCTAGAGCAAGTCTAGTGGTAATATACTGGTTGGGAAATAAATGTCTAAACCCAGGAGGACAAGTTCAGAGGAGCGCTCTGAGCCATGGCCAGCGCGCCTGAGCAAAACGTTGCTTGACTGCCTGCAAAAAACAATGCCTTTTGTAGGTTCATCACCAGGGAATAGTTGCTGGAAAAGGACCCAGTACATTGGCCACCTGCTCCTACCAACTTCTCCTCTCTTCCCTCTTGGACACCACAGTTGAGCAATCTACAAGAGTTCCTGTGATCAAGCACACACAGCCTTTCTTCCAGACCCCTCAATCAGAATTTACCTCAGACCATTCCGACATTTCCCACTGTGGCCCACAGGCTGGGTTTTTGCAGACTTTCCGCTCTTCTGGCCGAGTGATATCAGCAGATTCACACAGATCGCTGTAGACTGAGCTGTCAAACCCCGGTGAGAGCATCTTCCAGCAACGGACAATACGAAATTGGAGGCCTTCTCCGCAGGTCCTGGAGCATTCACTCCAACTGCTTGTCTCCCACCTGTCCAAGGCAACCTGGCATTTCAGGGTGAAGGACAGCAAGGGAGGACACTCTGGCCAGCCTCTCTGGTGATGATCAGGATCAGGCTGTTGTTTGATTTTGCTATTTTTCATCTCTTAAAAGAGGCAGCGGAACCTTGGCCCAGAACACCCACTTAAATGAGGTTGGCTCAAAATGACATTTAAATCAAAATGTTTTTTAAATACTCGGAGCCTCCAACATTAGAGCATTTAGGTTTGCCTGCCTATGTTGCAAAATGCAAATATTTGGTATTAGTTTTTAGAGCGGCCTTTTGACCAGAATCCAACTGCAAGGCCCCGCAGTGCACAGGCTGACATCTTCTTCCCCTCAGAGGCAATCCAGCGCAGTCTAAGGTTTTTGAGGGCTGCCTTTGGGGTATCTCACTGTGTTCCCAAAGCTGTCCTTTGTTTGGGGGCAGGGTCTGTTTCAGTAGGAGGGCAAACCTGTGTAAGATGACTACTGGCTTAAACTGGCAGCTTGTGCAGAGGATCTTGGTTCTGCTAGATTCCTGGCACGCCGGCCGAATGAAGTCTTTGGGGCTGAAGCTGCACCGTGGGGTCTACTCGCATTAAGACTCGCAGTCCTTAAGCCAAAGAGGTTGTAGGATGGCAAATGTTGGATACTGATTTACAGGGAGACAGTGCTAAAACCTCAGCAAAGCTTTTGCCTCCACTATTTTTATACACGTCGTTCAGCAAAATGCTCCAGGTTGTTCACCTGAGCTCCTTTCAGTGCTCTGCCTTCAGCCTTATTCCCTCTGAGGTTTTGCTCCTATCATTTGGAAACGGCTGAACTGTGGCTCATACAAGCTATACTGTTAATCTTATAATATATTGTCAATTCAATAAAGTTTATAGGTAAATTCTCCTTGCCATTCTACTAGTCAAGTTACTTGCCAAATCCTGCTTTGGAGCCTAGGAACAAATTATAAACCTTGGCAATTTTATTTAATTTTTATGTTATTTAATCTAATCTAATCTAATCTAATCTAATCTCATTCATCCATGAGATATGGATCATCATTAAACTGTATATATGTATTAGCTTATTAACTATTAGAAAAAGATGTAATTTGGGGGTTGGGATGGTATTTTATTTTTTTAGTTTACCTTTGCTTTCTGGTCATGGACTGTAATAATTATCTTTCTTCCTACCTTTTTCCCCATGGTGCTGTGGCTGTCCTTTGTTTTAATTTCTCCTGCCTTTTCCTGGGCCAGAACCACTCAAGCCCACGCTGACATTGCAGAGCAGGATAAGAGGTTCTGAAGAATCTTTGCCTTCGTGAGGCGTCTGAGTTACCCACCAACCAGACAGTGTCCTCCTCCCTGAGATGTGACTTTATGGCAAAGGGGTTCCTATAACAAGGCTCCGCCCTCATCCACCCTTCCCACAAGTGGCTCTTTCCCTGGATTCTCACTATGGAGGCAAAAAAAAAGTCTCGCACTGGGCCAGGCACAATCATCTTTCCATTCACTGGAAAGAGCGGGCGCTATGGCTCTATTTTAATCAAAGCCACAGAAAGAGTATTCCTGGGAATAAAGGAGGCCTTTTTGGTGTATCCAGCTGCCTCTGAGCCTTTGGTCCCCCAAGCAGTGAAGCATTTCCTCAGAGACAAACCTGGGCTGACATTCCCTTCCTGCGCAGAATTCGTGGATGGGCTCAGGCCGGGTCGCTGCGTCGCAGTATGTGTCCTCCACCTCAATGCCATCGTAGCGGATGCACATGGCATACGTGGACATCACTCCTACATTCAGAAAGACCAAAAGCAATCAGTCCGTCACCACCATAGCTGCTTTTTGACCTCATGGAGGTAATCCAGAAGCCCACGTCGCCGCTATACCATCTGAACTCTGCTTGTAGCATCAGCAAAAGTCAAGCCACATGGTTTCTCCTTTTATCACTCTGCAAGAATATACTCTGCTCCTATTATTCCTGCAAAAACAGTTGTGGAATCTATACATATTCACCAAGAGTAGATATCTGGGGAGAGAGCATTAGCTTGTTCACATATGGTAAAAAATTATATCTGTATTTCATTTGTAGAGAGCCAGTGTGGTGCCGCGGTTATGACGGCAGGCTAGAAACTGGCAGGCCATGAGCTCTAGTCTCACCTTAGGCACGAAGCCAGTGGGGTGACCTTGGGCCAGCCCCTCTCTCTGAGCCCTGGGAAGGAGGAGGAGGCCGGGCAAACACCTTCCGAAAACCTTGCCAAGAAAACTGCAAGGACTAATCCAGGCAGTTGCCAGAGTCAAAAACTGACTCAAAGGCATCCCCTCCTCCAAATCATTTGAACAAGTATTCACAAGAAATCTTCCTGATGTGGGGAGCAAAGGTATATAAAAGATTTGGGCGTAACAGAGGTGTATAACATGTACTACCAGAAAACATTTTTCCTTTAATATCAGTTGTGTGTGTGTGTGTGGGAGGGGGGGGTTCTGGCAATACCATCTTTTTTCATACCTTTGACAATTTCATCCAAGGAAGCAACAGAAAGGAAAAGTTGTATCCTGAATGCTATGCATTTTATGCCAGAAACTCCAACAATCCTTAATAAATTGTATTATTCCTACAGTTGATTAAGTCTCCCCACCTCTGGCATTTCCTTAAAAAGAAAACCTAACATGACTAGTACTGACAAACTCTGAATCCCTTTTTAAAAAATGACCTGGGAATTTGTGAAGCCCTTTCATTCATTAAAAATAAGCATGTTACAAAATGACCAGAATAGTGACTACGCATTTTGCTACATAATTCAGCTTCTAAAGACTAGAAATATTGCTTTTTGTAAAAAATAAAAGCTGGCAATCAGAAGCTTTTGGTTCAAATGCAGATGCCATGTCAGTATGCAAATCAAAACACAGTTTACTTTCATATCTGCATACTTCAGGACTTGCAGTGCAGTTCTCTAAATTAAAACGTGTAGAAAAATGCATATATTCGAGGGAAAAATAAATGAGTATCTTAAACAAAATATGTACAAAAATTTACAGTCATTCTGGGTATTTAAAAAGAAAACGCTCACATCTGATGAAGTGAGACAGAATGAACCTAACGTGTAAAAACTTAGAAACAGAGAGAAACCAAGCAGTCAAAGGTCTGTCATCACGATGCCCGTGAGATCAGCAGGAGCCGTGCTTGGCTTGAGGAAAATGCCTGGCCTCAAGCAACTCTACTCCCTCTTATTCATCCTTCAGTCCAGCCCGGGAGAGCCCAGCCCGAGAGACCCACCTTGCTCGGCATCTATTTCGGAGGCCCCAATGGTGCCAAAAGGCAACAGCCCCTCCCACTCGTGCTCTCCAGCAAATGAGATGAACAGGCACGCGGACTTCAATTTAGCAATTCTGTTTAACTGGCTAATAGCTTAATGGAAATCAAAGGACTTCCAGGGAAATCCAGTAAGAAGGAGAGGAGGAATATTAATTGCTTTTCTAATTTAAATTGCAAAATTGGATTAACAATTCTATTCCTTTGTCCTCACAGGGGCAAAGATGGCTGTGCTACAGCCAAATCTCACTCAAGAAGACACAAAACGGAAACAGGGCAAAGCAAAACAAAAGCGTTCAAATAACAGCTGTGGTCTTTGCTGGCACCACAGCATCAGGGGCAGGAGAACAAGAGCTATAACTGCTGTGTGAAAATAAGGCGTTTCCACATTTCTGATCTGAAGTTTAAGAGTACATCTTGAAGGGGGTGGCAACTGGTTACAACCACCTAGAGGCAGTCTGTGCCTAAATCAGCTCTTGGCTTGTTCTGAAGGCTGCCTTGAGTTTATATCCAACACTTACGGAAACACCTGGTGTCTGTCTCTACCTCGAGTGTTTTTCTTCCCTGAAACCCTATCCCTGCAAGCTAAAGGGACAGGTGTGAAATAAAGTCAGTCCTACAGACTTCACATGCTTTTCAATATTTAAACTGTGAACTAGCAAACCTTGCAAAGACGTTTCCTCCGCTGTCCTTGTGGCCAGAAGAGAGCAGTAGGACATAAGGCTAGCTGCTGCAGGTGGCAGATACGTCTTCAAGGAAGGCGTGAAAGCCAGCGCCAAAGGGGTCCTGTCTTTTATGCGGAACTGAGGATCACCTTCAGGACCACCTCTGTATGGCCACCAGGAACTTTCTTTTCCCGGAGGTGTGTCTTTGGGGATAATCTCCCTCTCTCTTGAGCTAAACCTTCTTTTCCCAAGACTCTCATTCTTCATAAAGCAGAAGAGTTGGTGTGCTGGGACTTGAGTGAGACATTGTTAACAAATCCCTTCAAGGAGTCCTCCAACAAACCCTCAGATCCTTTCAGCTGTTCCAGGCCAATTGTTTGGCTTCAAGGGGACCATCAAGCACATGTCCAACACAGTATCAACACAATGGAAACTACTAGAACTCTGTGCAGTACCCTGGATAATACTACTCCCCTCCCATTAGCTTATGGTGTTGGGCGAGATTGCTTACTGGAGGGGGTATACCAACTGTTCTGGCCACTGTGGCATAGCAGTAAATCTGCATTCTCATGTTCACAACTACTGCAGACCAGGCCACCACTTATGCCTGCAGATAAGTGTACTCTAATTCTTGGATTCCCATAAAAACCTCTCTGTCTGCTTCTCTGGTTGCTTCATAAGCTCCTGGGGACTAGCAAAGCCTTCTGCTTCTGTCAACCCATTTGGTGATTGCTTAGATGAGAGGAAAGAGGATCAGGCACTAAAACACAGCTGGCATAAAAATCTCACAAGGAATGTAAAACACAAATAAACGACGAACATGATGGGCCCACAAGGCAAATTTTAGAAGGTGCTAAGACAAAATCACAAATATATAACCAGCTACACAGAGCATCCAACCTTAAATGAGGCAAGCCCATGCTTCAGCAGCTGAATTCTCATAAAACATTTAACCTGGTGACAGAATTTACCCATTTTCTGTTTTTGCACAATGTAGTGAATCATAAACTAACTAAATGGGCAGATTAATACATCACTGAAAGTTTCAGTGAGACTAATGGAATGACAGATTGCTCTCACCCTCATCCTTTACATGCATACAAAGATACTTAATGAAGTCCAACTAGCCTCCCTCAGCACTGTCTCAAGGGCCATTCAATTATAGTTCCATGTCCAGAAGCTTGAGTAGAAACATAATGCACTGCTCTTTTCCATGCAATGTTTGTGTTCCATTTAAACATCTAACTTCACCCAGACATTTCTGTGGCCATCTGCCTGCCACACAGCAAAACAGGGCTTCTCTTGTCACAGCAACGGTTGGGTGAAGCAAGAAGATGCTATTTCATGATCTGTGAAACTGGCCACAGGATCCAAGTCCCCTTAGAAGCAAACAGACTGCTTTTATCCACTCTGCTCCAGCACAGGGAAAACGAGAAGAGTACAGGAAGGAAGAAAGGAAGAACATTTGGTACTCCAGCCTGGGAGAAAGGTAATGGGGGGACACAGCTGAGTCACTGAAATCTTCCATGGCTTTTTCTCTCTCTGGGCCTAGGAGCTGGCCAATGAAGTGGTCGCACAGAAGAATGGCACAAGATACGGTGATGGCCATTAACTTGGAAGGTTTTAAAAGGGGGCTGGTAAAACTAGAGGAGGAGAGATCTTCCATGAGCTATTTGTCTTGAAGACTCAGTGTGATCTTTGGGTTAGAGGTGTGAGGAAAATATACCTTTGAGTAAAAGAAGCAAGTTTTTAGGGGCCTCAGATGAATGGGAGTGCCTTAATAAAATTGAAACACAAAGGAATGTGCAGCACCTTTGAAGCTGGTGTGAACTAAGCTGATTGTAAACTCCTTATCACAAACATC